GACCTTTTAAGCTCTTCTTCTTGCTACTACCCATTGATAATTTTTTATCTCTATTATTAATAATAAAATATGTTAAAACTGTTCACTTGCTCCAAATGTGTGATCTGTCTGATAAAAAATAACGAATGAATAGACAGTAAAAGGGCAGCGCCACGATGGTCAAGGGGCGCTCCAGTCGTTCACTGTTGCGTAGCACGCTACGTGAGGCATGAGCTGCAGTGTGTTTGTGGAAGTGTTCTGTGAATAACATAGTTTCGACAAAGCATTGATGCGTGGTTGGTGCTTTACCTATTCTTGCACTTCTTTAGTCCTCACTCAAACACAAGTCCTTTTATTGGAGAACACGGTGGAGTGGGGGAACTTTGCTCCTATTGGTCAATCAAGTTGGGAAAAGGGTGTCCGGAAACCAATTCTGGGTGTAAAGGGGCGCAAGAATCCAGGCCCGGCACTTCGATACAACTCAAGATTCACATAACATCGCTTACAAGAGGAAGAAAAAGGAGAAGCAGCGGCAGCAGTAGTAATCTCTCAAAATTTAGTTTTTGAAGGTTTCACTTCTAACACGTGTGATCTGCACACATGTTGTTGTTTTTTTTTCTTTTTCAAAAAAGAACAACTTTGATATTCTCCCTTGAAGCTAACATGATTCTTCGTGTAATCTGATTTGAAAAGATTACACGATGTTGATCCGTTATAATAACATTATTCTTTATASTATAATTCCCATTAAGGGGTTACATGGGTTTCATCCGGGTAAAAACGGCGYATTTTCAAGATTTTTTTTCATATTATATTTTTTTTTTTATTTTTTTTATTTCAAATAATAATACGGGAGTAATCCCAATACAGAGTATGTAAAAATACAAAAATCCAAAAAATAAAGACGCATGGTGGTTAGATAGCTAGAGCACAATTAATATTTATTGAAGTATCCACGCAGAAGCATTTTCAGCTGATGCTTAGAGTTAACATCATTAACTGATTCAGGCAAAGAATTAAAGAGCCTAATAATCCGAGGAATAGGACTAAAGTAAGCTAAGTTGGTGCCATGAGTACGCTCGATCAAAAGTCTGGAATTTCGAATAGTGTAAGGCAAAGCTCTACCGACAATTCTACCCCTGAGATAATTACAATCAATCTCGCCACATAATACTGCAAATCCAAATAAAATGTCAGCTATGATCCTAGAAGATTCTAGAGTAGKTAAACCAAAAGACAAGGCTGATTGAAAGTAATTATGCTCAAAAGGATCTAAAGGTCGCTTAGAGCGCAAACAAAGTAGTCTTAAAAACCTATGTTGAATCTTTTCAAGCTGATAAATATATTTATCAAAATGCGGCGACCATATAACCGATGCGTAGCACAAAATTGAAAGAACCAGAGATTTATACAAATAGATTAAGGTGTTCAGGTCTTTAAAGTCTACTGTAGCCCTACCAAAAAAGCCAAGCATTTTGTATGCTCTAGTAGTGATGTAATCAAAGTGACCTTGAAAACATAGTTTGCAGTCAATGATTACACCCAAGTCTTTACACTGATCAAGTCTAGAAAGTACAACTGAGTTAAGTAGATAATTAAATTGCATAGGATTCAGCAGCCGAGAGAAAGAGACAATGTGACATTTATCAACGTTCAAGGTCAAACCATTTAAAAAGCACCAATWATAGAAAGAGATCAGATCCTCTTGAAGCAAAACACAGTCACGTGGTCCCTCAATCTTTTTGTAGATCTTAATATCATCTACATACAGGATAATCTTAGAGTTAGATATACTATTTATTACATCGTTGATAAACAGTATGGAACAATAATGGCCCTAGGTGCGAACCCTGTGGAACGCCAGATTTGGCAAAGAACGGTTTAAAGAAACATCCATCTATTTTAATAACTAMTGACCTATCGACTAAAAAGGATTTAATCCAACTTAGCAGGGGTCACGGATACCAAAATTATACAACTTGGAACAGAGTAGGCTATGATTGACTGAGTCAAATGCTTTGGAGAAATCAGTGTAAATAGTATCTACCTGCCGCATATCTTCAAAAGCCTTCTGAATGTAATCCGTGAACACTACTAAGTTAGACAGAGTAGACCTACATCTAACAAATCCGTGCTGCAGACTAGATATATACGTAGAAAGCTTATTATATAATTTAAATGTAACAATTTTATCAAATAATTTTGGCAAGACACTACTAGTTGATATAGGTCTATAGTTTCGTACATTAGATAAGTCCCCCGCCTTAAAAATAGGACGCACGAAAGCCCGTTTCCAACGCGAAGGAAAATACCCTTCCAATATAGATTTAGAAAAGATAATACTCAAGGGCTCAGCKAAAATWGAAGAGCAATTAACAATAAACTCTGGTGGGATTCCGYCTGKWCCAGGACYAGCATGAATATTTAATCCCATAATAGCCTCCATAACATCAGCAATAGATACCGTAAAATCAAGACAAAGGTTTTCTGGATCTAGCAAAGCAGGAACAGGAAGATCCTTAGCACAGTAAAATGACTCAAAGTATTTAGCAAATAAATTCACAATATCAACTTTTTCATGAACACGACAGTCATCCAGAAACATGCTAGATGGAAAACCTTCATTAGATTTTAGATCTTTAACAAAAGACCAAAACGACTTAATATTATTTAAACAAGAACTTTCAACTAAGTGAATATGATTCATATAACATCTGTTACGTTCTTTAACACATAACGCTCTTAGTCTTTTAAATTCAATAGAATCTTGAAGTTGAGTAGATTCTTTATAACGCTGATAAGCACGCCTTTTCAAAATAACTTGATCAATCAAATCCTTGCTGAACCATCGTGGGAAATCATTGTTTCTAAAACGTCTTGTCGGCACATATAAGTCAATTGTACAATCCATTTTAGAATAGAGAAAGTCTAAACAATCTCCAACACTTAAGCAGGATTGGTTTGCCAATATGCTCYAGTCAACCTTACTTAAAAAATCTTTCAATGCAGTATAATCAGCRTATTTGTAGTTCTTGGAAGTGTGTGATCTGTGATGTCTATTCGCAGCACAAATATTCACAGCAAGAAACCCTGGAGGGTGATAAACATCTACCTTGACTAGATTATCTGGCGGCAAAGAATATTCAATCTCAGAAAAATTACTGAAGAGTAGATCTAAGGTGTATCCACTGTCTGCCCGTGTGACCGGAAAAAATTGTGAGAGACCAAGATGAGAAAATCCATCTCTCAATATAGAGGCCTTGAGATGCTCTAAAGGTGACACATAGCCAATGCTACTAAACTCCAATGGAAGGGTGGACCAAGAAATCCTTGGGCAATTATAATCACCAAATAAAAGAAATTTATCAGAAGGAAATTTACCCATAAGAGATTCCACTGTATCAACATGCTCTTGATAAACATTTGGGTCGCTCCAAGGTGCAATGTACGTAGAGGAAACAATCAGAGAACATGACGGAGTGATTATTCTCACAAATAAATGTTCTACTGATTCACAGACGTCCTGAAGTTTGAAACAGTTGAATGCTCGTTTAACAGCTACAAGGGTACCTCCACCTCTAGTACGATTAGTTAGTCTGTAGTTCCTATCAGTCTTGAAAATATGGTATCCTTCCAGCTTTAATGATATAACTTCAAGACCATCGGACCATCAAGTTTCTGTAAATAAAATTAAATCAGGACACACAGAACATATAGCCAAATTTTTCTGCAAATCAAGTAATTTAGGCCTAAAGCTCCTGACATTCTGATAATAAATTGAAAGGCCCAATGAATTATTAATTAGTTTTTTAATGGTAAGAATTTACCATCTACATCAACAATAGAAGGAATATTTCTAATGTACTTCATACTCCAAAGATCATTAGGATGAGCTTGGTTGTGTAACTTGATAGATTCTAAAACACTATTTAGTTCCTCCTGTTGCTTCCTTGTTTTGTCAGTAGATACCTTGATCCCATCAGGCAATTTGGAACGATTGGCTAAGATAGCAAATACATTATCCTTTGTCCTCATCCTTACACATAAAGGGCGACATTTGCTGGCTCTGAACTTTCCCAAACGTTTAATTGATAAGATGTCCACACAATAGATTGTGCTTAGAAGCCAATACTGTCATCCTCAATAATAGCTTTCAGAGCCTGCTTAGTGCATACCTCATCAACTGATAGCCTATCTTCATGAGAAGGCAGAGAATTTTCCATAATACCATAGAGCATCAAGTTACTAGATCTATATTCAATATCTTTAAATTCATTATATAGTTCAGTAGTAGACAAATTATTTCCAACACTACATTTATTCTCAATAGATTGTACTCTATTGGATATGTCAATAATACCCGACTCACAACTTTCAACTCTAAATTCACAATTGTCTACACGAGCYTTGCGAGATTCGATCTCTACCAATAAAACTGACTTAATTGCATCAATATGAGCATCTAAGGAGTCTTTTAATACATCATTTATGCAACTTACAATGTGGTTTCTAGTGGTTTTATCCACAGAGTGCTGARATGAAATAAGATTGCTAGGTCGAGTATGATGATGTGCGTGTTTAGACACTGTCTCTTGAGACGATAAACTCAACCTAGATAGATTACTTTCTGTGATCCTTGTAGCACAGGAAGCAAAAGTCAAAGAATTATCTAAATAATCCAATAAACATCTTTAATTCGCAGCACACTCTTTGTGAAATTTGTYCTTGCAATGCTGGCAGAGTATATAGTCATTAGTAGCTAATTTACACTCTCTGAATTTACACTTATGTGAGCCAACAGAATCAGAGGCAGAAAAATCTTTACAAGTTTTTGGAGCCATAGTAAAAGCACAGATAGACACTTAACAGGAGATATCCAACTAATATCTAAAACACTGTATATATATATATATATATATATATATATATATATATATAGTATGTATAAAGTAAATAAGGTTAATATTTAATTTAAACAAAATTAACAATGATTGTATGATTAATTATATCATATTTATATATATATATATATATATATATATATATATATAGTATGTATAAAGTAAACGTGGTTGTATAACCACAAAACTTCACCCACGAATATATGAAAAATCCCACATGTCCTAATTAAAATTTATATATCAATTGAAAGAGTAGATTCAACTGTAAACGTAGATAAGAGTATTTTCAATTTCAAACAAAAAGTAATTTATAAAGTTTAAACAAACTACGGACGATGTGAAGCTAGAGTGATACCAGTACAGCGCCACCTCGCGGATCTGAAATATATATATGAAATATTTGATTCAAATTTTGTATTATCTTAAAGATACATATTTA